CCATGGGGGCAATACCTTGATATATGCTAACATCATTTGCAAAAGCGGTTGTGCTCTGAATGATTACATTACTTTTGATATAAGCCAGCACTACATTGGACACAACACTCTCGTATTTGTCGGTGTCTTTCGCCCTGAGAGCCACGTAATACACGCCTCCGGTGTCCGTATTGAACCGGATCTGACATCTCTGCTCTTTGCCGTAACGGTCAGCCATAGTATCGAAGGTAACGCTGATGTCGGCGCTGTGCAAGTTGTTAAACTTGGTTCTGATCTCTTGCAGCTGTTTTTCGTCCTCTTCGTGGTTATCCTTTTGATGGAAGGCTTTGATCGTATACATGTCGGTAAAGCCTGTAGTGTAGTCCCCTCCCGACGCTGTCCACAACAGATTAATAGTCCGGTTCTCGTACTCAACCGACTCTACCCTCAAATCCCTGACCGGATTGGGCGGGTATTCGCGATTCTCGTCCTTATTAGTTACGAAAAGTGTGCCGCACTCTAACTTTCGGCTCAATTTGGTTACACTTAACGGAAATGGCGTTGTTTTCCCGTCCACTCGTGAGCCACAACAGGCGCTATCACTGGACGTCTTTGGCAGAGAAGTGCTGCCGAAGTTTGTGGTGAAGTCGACCGTACTCTCAATGTTTGTAATCTCGGCGCTGACCGTCCAGTAGCCCTGGTTTCCTATGTCTGTGATATAGTTGGAGAATATTCCGTCGCCTTTCGTGATGTCCGGTGCGCCCGACCCGTCGTCATACATATCGATGACTTTCGGTTGACTTCCCTTTGCATCATAAATGACACTCAATTTGACCGAAACATTGGCTATGAGTTCGTCCAGTTTCTTATGGATGTTGACGTAAGCCATGACCGGCCTATTAGTGTCGGTCTTCGGATTAAACACTTGCGTATTGAGCAAACACTGAGCCTTAATAACGGTGTCGTCCACTGAATTGGTGGCAAACTCTGCCACAGCTATCACCGGCACACTGGTATCGTCGCGATTGGCACTCAGCTGCCATTCACCCGATAAATCGTCATCCGATATATCTTTCACAATAAAGCCCTCGAGAAAAGAGCCTCTTGATACAAAGTTCTCAATAGATCTACCCGTAGGCAGTTTTAGTTTATGGTCAGTTAATTTGCTGTACGAGGAACCGGTGTCTGTGCGTATAAAATAGACCCTGGCACTCTTTGACGACAGGCTCCTATCGACACTAAACTTGAAGTCAATTGGCTTTTCGCCCGAAGAGTCGATATATTTCTCATCGATTATCTGGTAATCATCGGTAAGACTGCCGAAAGCTTTGATAAATTGGTGGGCCGTGCGAGCGGCCGATGAGTCCTCGCGCACGTAGACTACCCGTCCACTCGTCACGGATGCGGCCGTTTGGAAGAGCGGAGACGCAAACACTCTGTTGTCGTGCGAATCAAAGGGGAAGACAATTATATTCAATTTGATGCCCTTATCCCTCAACTGTACGGCCAGTTTGTTCACTTTGTCCACACTATTGGCTGTCTTGATCCCGGGTCCACCGATTACAATGATAAAGGTGCCCCCTTTGTCCCTATGATTAGGTAAATTTAATTTACTAAATTAGTAAAATTAATTTCTTTGGACATTTTGTTAAATAACTTTTTTATTGACCAATCTAAATAAATTTTAAAGTAATTTTAAACAATTTCAGAATAAAACTTACCTATTAGTGAATAAAGCGTTTCCGTGGTTCAAAACGTATTCAAAGTCCATGAGTTCTGCGGTCTTAGTAGGTGGTTTCAAAATATCCAATACTTCGGCGGACTGCCATCCATTATACTGATCGTAAATATCAGTATCCGTACCCGACGTAAAAGTGAACAGTGATATCGCAGAGTTTGCAAAATCTGTTTTATACTTATTGAGCCCTAAATTAACCCATTTAATGCGATCATCATAGGCTGTATTGGTGGTTTTGATGTATTGTATGGCAAACAGTGTTTGCATTTTAGTGGCCGGAATATTCGATTGCTTAGCGATTATGACCGTCGGCTCAGCGTATGTTTGATCCATTATTCTGTTATAATTGGTATGCATTTTATAATTAATATACAGAGTATTTATAATAAATAAGTGCTTAATTTCAGAGTAACGTTGTGCACAAAACTAACTTATAATTGCTTATTATTTTTACAAACTTTGCAAAAAAAAAGTTTGATAAGTTTTAATATCAAGGACTAAATTATTTGTAAGATTTTAAAACAGTATTTAGAAAAGTTTTTGTTGTAAATTACTATAATTTGCATTAAGTTTGCTAAACAGCAATTTATTACTACAGTAGTTTTTTTGTGTAAAAGGGTTATAAAAAGCATTTAATATTATTTGGATATCAAGCCAAAAATCTTAAAGAAAATACTAATACTTTCCAAAATAGTGAATACCTGTTGGCACTAATACTGTACTAAGTTACTACTATTTATAATTATGTTATCACATAAATCATATACTGTATAATATACAATACAGTGTATATTGTTTTAGGAAAAGTTTATATTTAGTGCTTAAATTTCTACTCAAATACACTATTCTTCGTAAACTCTATGGAAACGATTCCCATTCCCCTACACCTCATGCCAGCCCTCACTCGCACAGCGAGGGATTACTGGGAAACAGTGGAAAAAGACCGCATTTAATGCTATTATAATAGTATAGGAAATAAAATAATTGAATGCCATTTGAATGCTATTAAAAATATATTAGGAATAGAAGTCTAGAAATCGCTTCAACTTATCATAAGTTTGTTTTACAGTTATATCTCAGCATTTTGGGGGTCAATGTATGGCATATACTTCGAGTGGTGTGCGTATAATAGTATAATCTGTGCGATTGATAGCACGTACCTATTTGTTTGCCTATACAAGTGGTGATTGGCGAGATCGGGGTGCGATTTGATGACAGTCCACGTGTCCCTCCCGTCGCACAAAACGTTTTGTTTGTTCGGGGATTTGCTGTTATGTCGATGAGATCCCTGTCCGCCAGAGCGTGTGTCACCGCAAAAGTGTTTCACACTTTCCACTGAATGGGCGAACATTAGGGACGACTCGAAGTTATTGGTTTGGGTGAGTATGGGCTGGCAGTAGTCATCGGTAGGTAATCCCGTGGTATTACTGGTGTCGAGGTCGCACTTACTACCCGTTCTCGTTTCAGTGCTATAACTAAACTCTCTGTCGGCGCACGAGTTGACAAGTATTTCACTGGTGTTAGGATTTCCGGCTATACTATAGTAAGCGGGATATATGGGGTCCGACTTGAAGCCAAACTCGTTGAACACGCCGTACCGATAGTGCGCCCACTCGTGGATCAGTTGTTTAGCGCCGTTACCATCTGTGACCGTCTTTTTGGTGACCGTAATAGGAAGTGCGGGTTCACCACAACCGGCGTATTGCATGCAAAATGATTGCTCGAAGTCTAAGAAATAGCACATAATTTTATAATTAGGAGAAAATTACTACTTTTAGGCACATCTTATTCAATGAGTGGTAATAATGTTAATTCATTGCCATAATTATTAGCTAAGTGTTAGGCAATTGAATGCATTCATGTGTTGCACACACAACAACAAAAAAAGTTTGCAAAACTTTTTTCAATTGCTATAAAAAGCTAATTTCTTTAAATACCTCTGTTTATAACGATAACATCTGCGTCGGTATCACGTATTTGGACAGTAGTGGTGGAGGTAGTGGTCCACCCGTTTGGCACCCTTATGGTCACTTCCGAGAAATATAGGCCAGTCGTCTCAGACAACACTTTAGACGCATCGGTGACTAAATTCTGTGCAAAGCATTCATAAACAGAGAGAAAACGGAAATATTAGCAAAATTCGTAAATAAATATGTGAATGAGTTTTCCGTTTAAATGATTGTCAAACAGCCGTTGAGTATTATATTTAGCAAAAATTAAATGTAGTGTTTGCATGCGTTGGATATTTAATAGCAAAAATATCAGAAATGTGTGACTCATTGCAAATATGTATGGATGTATGGACAGCCGTTTAAATTTTCTACTCTAGTTTACACACGTTTTGCAGCAGCGAGTGAATGTTTTGTATATACAATGTAGTCATTGAACTAAAAGTTTTTCGATTTATTCTAATACTGTGTGCTTTTTTTAGTGAATGTAATGTTTCTTTTGCTATTTTTTCGCAACAAAAGTTTTTAACTCAATACCCGAGAGAGCACCTGAACGTAGTGTTGTTGGAGTGGAGGGGAAAGAAAGATAGATAGAGAAAGCCATTGAGAGGCTAACTATTTATGCATTTCATATCTTGTATATATATCCGGCACAAAACTTCATGCACTTTGTTTGGGCGAAAATTACATCACGATTTTCTGTACATATTTCGCTGCCATAACCTATTCTCGTGAAAAAAGTTCACTTCTCAGCCAAAATGCTCAACAAATCTCTCTCTCTCTCTCTCTCTCTCTCCAACTTAAACACAAATAACACAACAGGTATTGACTCTTACAATACACATTACAATAGGCAGAGACAGATAGTGATAGATATAATGTGTGGATAATAAAGCATAAAATTGTGTTCACAAATCATTTTTCCTCAACTAAAACAACTTTAAGAGATAAATATTTTTCTCTCACAAACAAAGCGTTCAATTCTCATATTATTCAGTGTTTAAAAATATATGCATGGTGTAAATTGGATATAAAATACAAAACTGTATTTCCATTTACCTTGAGTTTATCCAAGAGATCAAGCTGATCTTTCTCTCCGTTGACTTCAATATCCGGACTGATGGCTATGACTAACCCTTTGTAAGCGCCGTTATCTACCCGTAGGGATGAGTGTGAGCCCAGACACACATTTGCCAAATATAGTAATCCATAGGACAGTATGAGATAATAATTTAAGTGAAACAATGGGAATCGCATTTTTGGTGTGAAATAGTTTATTGATGACACTATGGCAGTTGAATTTTAATGATGAGCTCAATGTTTATTTAATTATTATTTTATTATCATTATATAATCATAATGTCGATAAATAATATAGCGATTCAGTGTTATAATACAATTCACACCATTGAAACAAAAAGTACAGAATATCTCAATAAGGAGTTATGGTATGCACCGTATGATCGAGAATAAGGCGAATACTTTTCTCATTACAAAATCGCTGAGAAATGAAATATAAGTTTCAAAATACCAAGTAGTGTTGCCTTCAAATTGAGTTCTCGAAAGATAAACAATTGATTATTAGTTATAAATACAATTGAAAATCTCCAGTGACGACAAACAGGCACATATACCACTGCAGCACATACAGTGCGCTGCTTATACTGCTTAATACAAATACAGTGAGACTTTGAATATTATTATTCTTATGGCTTTTCGTTGTCTTGAATGTTATGATAAGTGATTGAGTTTCAGCACATAATTGCAATTAAACACATTTAAAGTGCACACATGTATATACTGGCAAAATGTGAATATTTCATACATTTCAAAACATCTACAGTACAGACAGACTATGAATGGGAACGTTGTGAATATATGCGAGTCCAATGAGACTCTGGATGTGGTCTATGTATATTTGCACAGGGATACTCGACTGTAATACGATTCTGTGCACTGTATGAACTGTAGTATACTTATGGAAATACACTGGAAATATATATCATATATAAAATTCGTTATATTTATTATGATTGTATTATTATTATTATCAGCACACAAATTTGTAGTTCACTTTCAAAACTTATTATTCATTGTTTTGTTGCCATCGTTTCGAGAAACAGATAATATATAAACACATGAGTGGAAGTGCTTGACAGCCAGACCAGAGCACCGGTAGATTAATAGGGAGTATGTGGTTTTATAATGTAGACCCGGTGTAAGAGCAGGCAACCGTCAAATGGACATACGGTTTGATATAAGTAGTTATATATAATATATATTTTTGTTAAATAACTTTTTTTTCATTAAACCGTGATTTCGTTTTAAATAGCACTGGAAGGGAACGTTAGGCTAGAAAATTAGATTTTTCTTATTAGTTTTGCGTTGAACGCGATCTCTTGAAACACTCGGAGCTAAATGAGAGATACTTTAAACGATAAAAAAGAGTTTCTTCACGAGTTTTCTCTCTCTTTCTCTCGAATGGTCTCTCTATCTATCTCTCGATTCTCCCGTCAAAGATCACCGCCAGCTATAGCCAGTGCTCACAAGCATTTAGCCCTAAACCGCTGGCCCTCTCGCACTGAAATAATAATAAAAAATATTAAACACGAAACACATGAACACTGAACACAATTTTGTTCAACTGTTTTATTATTGAACACTGAGTGTAACGTCAGTGTGTTGTGTGTGTTGTGGAGTGGAGTCGGAGAGAGAACTGAACGCAACACGAGTTCTTACAACTGGAGAGTCGAGTGGAGTATTGCAGTCGGAGTCGAGTCTCTCATCCAATACTAAAACAACTCTAAAAATCAAGAAATGCTTTTAGCGTTTAGAAGAAGTTTTTCTTCTATTCAGTCTCTCTCCCTCTCTCTCATAGCCTCTCTCTCTCTCTCTCTCTCTCGTCGCAGCGTTTTAGTCGCCTAAAAGTAGTGTCAGAATTGGACAAAAAAGTTTTCCTCTTCACTTAAACTATTCCTCTATTTTCTATTCAATTCCTCTAATATAATAGCCATAAAAAGTCGATGCTTTCCGTACGGCTCGATTCGTTGGGCACCGTTTACTCTGGAATGGGATTCTTGTGCTCTCCTTCCACTCCAGTCACTCACCAGTCCTTATGTTTTGTGTCTTTTCTTTTCTTATGGTTTTCTCTCTCCTATTCTTATGTTCCCTTAAAAGTCCTATTGTTTGAGAACAGTGTCCGACATATCATACATATCATCGAAACTTTGCCATACAATAGAAAAGCCCCAAAACACAGGTAAACCACAAACAAATGGCCTTTTGTTAGCTCCCTGTATGTTATACCAGTCGTTCCCTTTTGACATCAAACATATGAAATGCACACAACATTTACAAGCATTTTATGAATACTTGATATAATATACAGCGCGAAAATACAGAGTGAAAGTTAAGCCCCGATAATAGTATGGGTCATACGTTTGGAGTTAACGATGAATCGGTATAACATATGTATGGCATACCAGTGGGAAAACTGATCTCAGAGGTGTACCGTTCCGCCACCAAAATCGTGTACAGCACCGGCACATTAGGAATCGGCTATACCCGGCCATACACTGTACGTGAATGCACTTTGCTTTGCTTTGATGCCAACACACAAAACGCTCTAAACTTTGCTTTTATAATGCATTTATAAAATCGAGAGAGAAATATGTTTTGAATTTCGCTTATCGTATAATTTTTCAGCACATCATCTGAGAGTAGAGATCCAATGGTGGGGCCAGTAATGAGAGAGAGAGAGAGAGAGAGAGAGAGAGAGAGCTGGCGCTGGCATCCAAGCCCTATGGCCTTTCACGCTCGGTTTCAAATGGTTATGCCATAGAGCTATGGGCCCTATAATTACGATGAACTTTGTTGTGGGGAAGAGAGACATGAAATGTCAATATGTATGTAAAGAGAGGTCAAAACAGTCGGAGACCGCTCTCCTGTGCCATACATGAGATGAGCACTTGTATGTGCACTGTATGTACAGTATATCAATGCTTTTAGGGATTGGGATGGGAAGGGAAGCTGAGACTACGAGTGTTCCTGAAAGGAGAGGTCTGTTTTCTAAGCAATGCCAGCACCGACACTACCAGCGCTCACGGGGCTGGACCCTCACTCACCACAACTGAGAAATCACTGTTAATTCATAGAAAAAATATTGGGAGAGAGAATGAGATCTGTTTAAGTGGTTTCCAATGTGTTTGGCATATGTTGTGTTTATTCAAAAAAGTTAGTCCAAAAATATGAGCACAATATGAGTACGTAGTGCACAGGGCTTACAGTATGACAGCACCAACACATAAATGCCTTTTTAGCCATCGGTTTAAATAAATAAATGCTAAGAAACTCGCAGTCATTTACTTTATCCTTAAAACACTGGGAGGAAAGGGAGTGAAGAGTGTTAAGAGTTAGTTAGAGTAATATTTATTTACGTTAGTCTACAATCAAATAAGTTATTTTAAAGTGAGTGAGACATTGACTGCCAGTGCATAAGGGGAGGGCATGCCAGAGAACTTTATGCAATATAAACTTCGCCAGGGATATGTACCGTATTAGATGTGAATAAATAAAAACTAATTGCTATCAAAATATGAGACTCTCATAACTTATATAATGTAATGCAAACGACACTACAAAATGCTGTTTAAATTCTTTGCCTCTTAAAGGCTATGTATATCGTAATGAATGGCTGACAGCGTATAAAAGCATATTTTTTGCAGTGTCTGAAACTTAACCACAATTGAACATTGGATTGGCCTTTCAGTTTATGTGCTCTCTCTCTCTCTCTCTCTCTCTCTCTCTCCCGTTCTTCTTATTGATGTACGAAAAGTGGAGAACATGTATGTAATAAATGTTATGGCATTAAAAATAGCTACAAAAGCACGCCTTTAGATCACGTATTGCCAAATGGATCGACAAAATTGGAAATGAGAGGGACGGAGAAGAGCACAGGGATGTTTGGGTGAGAGACACAGAGAGAGGGGTACTGAGTGAGAGAGATAGATAGACATAGAGAGAGAACCAGTCGTATACTAAAAAAGCTGTATTTGCACCTGTAATTAATATAAGCCGGGACTGTTGTAAAACTTATGCTGTAACACTGTGTATGTACTGTATATACCTGGGAGAATGTCTGAGCGATGTATGCATTAGTAAAATGTTGGGTCAAACTGAATGCCTCTCTCTCTCTCTCTCTCTCTATGTAGTGATACAGACCATTGATTAGGACTTATTCAATACAACCCATACATAGCGTACAATAGCCTGACATTTCTCGTAACAATCATTTCGATTGTCTGTATAAATATAATAATGCACTTCGAGAGTAGAAATACGAGAATTATGTAATGATTTTACGGTTTACTATATACAGTGTCTGAGCTATGAAATAGTCATTTTTCAATTGAATGCGTTTGTGTTGAGCCCCACACACACAACACAACATCTAATATAATATTATATAAATTGAAATCTGTTTGGCCGGAAAGGCGGGGGAGTTATTACTTCCGATGATTACTATTCGCGGGGTTTGACTCCTATAACAATAACAACACAATTTTGGTGTAAATGTTGTGATATCTGTTGTGTTGTCAGCGGCTTAGGTGGGGAGAGGCAGAGAGATTGGGATAGGATAGGGACCTACTGTTCCCAAATGGGTCCACAAACTTCATGATAAACTGGGAGGCAGTGCTCTATTGAAAGGAGTTTTTTTATGTTGCTAATAGAGTTACAGACAATGAAAATGCATTTATAAATCCGATACAAATGAATAATATCGAGATGTGACGGCCCGTAACCGTCAATTGCAGCTGAAGAAGCACCAGTACACTCATTCAGCACCGGTATGCCTATGCGTTTCTGGATGTGTGTGTGTACTCAGTGTACCAATAGATGCTAGGGTGGAGACATCCGCTTAATATTCATAATAACACTCGTTATAAATGAATAATTATTACTAAAACTTCTAATAGTGTTATTTTTTGACGAGGGGACGGGTAGCATAGGTGAGGACTAGTACTCCACAACACGAAACCACAAGTCATAACATTATTATAAATAGATAGTGTTTTCGCCGCATTTAAATAAATCGATGGCTTTATTGTTGTATTGTCTCTGATGTATAGCCACTTTAAATAGCATTTGGGGTGAACTCGAAAACCAATTTCTCATTTGTTTTCGGGAACACAACTGTTAATAATGAAAAAACACTTCACATATATATAGCATTCAGTTTAGCGTTTTAAAAGTATTTTTCTAGTTTTATAAATACAGTAATATTATTTTGTTTTATATATTTTTATG